GAAGGCGTCGTTGTCGTGTGCTGTTTTGACACAGTTAGTGACGGTGGGGGGAGGAGGGCAAGAGGTGAACGGACTCGTTATGGCTAGTAATTGGTCCCCAATAAAAATCGCGGAATCGTACTGGGCTTTGTTCATGGCGTCCTGCCGCCAGGAGCGGAGGAATTTCTCCATGTTGGAGTTGTTGGAGGAGGAGGATTGGTGCGCGGTTGTTGCCATGCTGATGAGGGCGGGTGGTGGTGGTGGTGGTGGTGGTGGTGATGATGGTTCATGGGTTGGTGTTGGTGGCAGTTTGGGTGTTGGAAATGAACCAAGGTGGATGTCGACATGAGATTGAGCAAATACGGTTTTGTTCGAATGGTCAAGCAAACCTGCCCAATTGTCGACCACGTCCCTTCCAGGAATCCACCTTGCGACCAAATGTCAATATTTTGCAAGGCGCAACTGTGATCGACCTGGGGGACGCGGCTGCCAAGAAAGACCCGACGCGATTTGGCGGGGTCGCGAACTCAGGTGAGGTCTTGGAAGGGTGCACGGGCCATATTTCACTTGCCACACTCAAACATCAATAAACTCTCAGGGTCAGCAAAAGTGTAAACAAAAACATGGCATTATTGGTATCAAACACCCCATAAACCTCAAATCTAATCCCACACCCCGTCACATAATCCCATCTTTTCCTGCTTCTCCCAGACCCATATATAAACCATGACAAATCCTTCGCTGTGATCAACCCATCCATATAACAAATGCAAACGCTCACTCCCATAACCCCCTTAAATAAAATCACCATGTTATTCATTCTCGTGCCCATCCATCACCAAATCACCCCCCATATCATACACCTTCCCCCTTCCCCCCCTCACAACCAAGGCATCCACAACGGATCCAGCGTAACTGCCAAACTAACCGGATTAACCGCCTTGCTAATCAAGTCAATAACCGTCTGATGCGCCGGCAGGTTCGCCGCCGGAGCCTGCGCCAACGAAACCGCTTTCTTGACCACAATATCGCAGTTCGCCTGCACCGTCTCCCGCAGCTGAGTCTCCGTCAGGCCCGTCGTCCTGTTAGACGTGAACCAAAACATCATCTCGTCCCTCACATACAGCGTCAGGGCATGCTCCAGCTGGAACTGCGGCTCCGTCAGGCACCGCGCAATCGCCATGATGGACGCGGCAAAGATCCCCTCCGTCGCCAGGGGGCCCATCAACGTCTGCATGTTGGGTGTCAGCCGGAAAGGTACGTGCTCCGAGTGGTAAAAGATTGGTCGGTTTTGGGCAATCTGCGAAAGGAGCTCGGAGCCCCAGATGTTGCCCGTCTTTCTGGAAATGTTAAACTTGTTGGGGTATCGCTTGTCGATGTGAAGCGTGTACGTCATAAACGTCAGCGCCGCCAGCTGGTAGGCAAACCGGCGACGGAACAGCCAAAACTCGGAAAAGTCGGGGTAGGCCAGCTGGAAGTACTCCAACGCGATGGTGTGGTCGACATACTTTTCCTGAATCGCACGCATCACCTCCAGACGAGCCGTATTCAACTGCTCTTGTTTCTGCTGCGGAGTCAGGGCCTGGTTAGGGTGGGCTGGTCCAGAATGTCCCGGGGGGCCGGAGCGGGAAAAACTTACACCTCCCTTGTTGTCCATGAGCGCTCTAAGCTTTTCCATGGTGTACATGATGGGCTCGTCCTTGGAAATACTGTTCCGACGGCAGTGGTCCTCGTAGATGGCCTGGAGCGAGATCCAAGAAGTGTCCTCCTGAACTAGACGGAATGTTGGCGCAATCGGAATCATCAACGGCAACGTGAACTGCAGATCGCGGCGACGGCTCTCCTTCTTGCTGGCTAGTGTCTGGTTGAGTTGACGGAACAGTTGCAAGACGCGCTCCTCACGACGGCACTGGCGATGGGCAGGATGCTGAACCATAAACGCATGCATGCTTCCGTCATGGCCACGAATCTTGAGACGGCGGTGCGTGGAACCCGTGTTGCGCACAAGGTCGACGTTGGGCAAGAACCGCTCGATCCGTATGAAGTCCTGGTTCTTGTCCTTGTGCTGGAGGTATTGTCCCGGGACCTCGACATCGTCAAACTTTTGGTACCGGAACTCGCTGAGGTGCGGAGAGTAATGCGCAAACGACTCCAGTGGCTGCGGTGTCTGGCGGCGGTCCAGCTTCTCTTCGAACTTGTCGCGCCACTTCCTCAGTTTGTGAATGTACTCATACATGGTGGGTTTAACTCTCACAAAGTCGGCCTCGAAGGAGCTTCGGATGTGAGCTGGGAGTATCGTCTCCGCAAATTTGATAATGTTGGACTCGGTTGCCTGGGGAAGCTTGACCTCTCTGGCGTACAGCTGTGGCGACCGGCTCACATACGACAGGCTGTCGTTGAACAAGGCCACAATCAAGCGGTACGCATCATCATCAGGCGGGCACTTGAAGTGCTTCTGAATCATATCCACCATTGTCTCCATCGACAGAGCCAGCAGAGGGAACGCAGTCTTGAGCACGCTCATGATATCCTCAGTGAGCTCCCAGGGCTGCTTCTTGTGACCTGCTTGCTGCTCGGCCGGCACAGGAGCAGCATTGTTGGGATTGCCGGCCTCCTTAGGCTCAGTCTTGACCTGGTTGGCATCGCCGTTCGCCGTGGCAGGTCTCGACCCATCAGCTCCCTCTGTCTTCGCCCCGGCAGCTCCTGCTTCCTGCTTGGCAACCGCTGGTGACCCGTTAGGCTTGTTGGCAGCAGCAGCAGCAGCTTGCTGACTGCGCTGTCGAGCCTTGTTCTCCTGCGCCTTCTTGATGGCAAGATAATCTTCCTTGCTGGTGCGAAGCTGGAAGTAAAGCGCCTGAGGGAACGTCTTGGCAATCTTGATGAGAATGGCAAACACCCTCGGCGCCTCTTTGTGCGAGATGCCATTGAGAAGCTGCGGCACAAACGTGATCCACCACCAGACGTGAATATCCCCCTTGAAATCATCAAACCCTCCGGCAATGGTGCCATTGGCATCATCCAGGCTGAGAAGCCAGAGAATCCGAGCGACCAGCTTCCGAGACTTGTAGTTCTTGTAGCTGGAAGCAGCCTGCAGATAGCTCGTCACAGCCTGCTTCGCCGTGCTCAAGTCTGCCGGGTTGTCCTTGAACTTTCGGTCGTTGAAGTAGCCCCATTCGGCCCACGCCTTGGCTGCGGTGATGTCATAGTACAACGCCGTGCCGTAGGAGCCGTCGGCCTCCTCCTTCTGGCCAAG